TGTAAAAGGTAACGGAGAGTGACGAAAAAAAATATAAATAATAATTTAAGAAAACTTATTTAACGTGAATCACATCTTTCCAAGGAAATTAAATGCAATTTTCTTACTAAATTTTAAATTGTTTTCATAGTTTTAAAAAAAAAGTATTTAAAGTCCACCGATTCGATCCAATGCCATTGTTAAAAAAAAACTATTTTATTGTACTTGAGTAAAAGAAGAAGTGAAATATAAAAATATTTCATGGATATGTTTATAACCTTAAATACATTTATTGTAGTTTCATAAGTCTAGATAAGATATATATTTAAATAATTCAATATTTATCGGACGTTATTAAAAAATCTGGTGCGCGCAACACACAACTTTCACTTACATATCTACTTTAAATAGAAATTATTTTCTGGCAATACTGGGCTATTATAAAATTTTTTGAAGTGCATTTTAAACGGAGCTAAAGCTTAAAGCTTACAGATAACAAGTCATTAATACCAATTTAATTACAAAATGTCTATTTAATATATCGACGACAGGCAATAAAAATCTAGTCACTCCATCTGCTTTTATAAACCACACAATTTTCTTTGCTTTTATAAACCACAGAATGACTAACTCCAATTTCAACATTTTTGAGTGATGTCATTTAAGTGATATTTTTAGTTGAAAAAGTTATCTATGCAGACAATGAGTAAGTTGATTCCAGAGGTGGTGATTGCAATGTTCAAATATAGAACTGAGAATAGAGGTACAAATTTAGGTACTTATTTCTTATGATAGATGTTATTAGGAAAGACACTTTATTAAATATCTGTAGGAAAAAGGTTTTTTAGTCTCAACAATTAAAAAAATATATTTTAAATTTATCCAAATTTTCGCCTCTTCAGGGTAAAAAACTAGAGACCATATCTTTCCTCCTAATTGTCCGATTTTAACGATTTTTTTTTAGGAAATTCCATAAACTTTAAAAAAAAACATAAATACCCCCAAGCGTATACTTTTTGAGTTATTCGAAATTTAATTTTAGCATCCCTCGTAACTTTTTTCCCAGCTTCTTTTCATTGAAGTATGTTATATAGATAAATTTAAAGGTTATCGAGAAAATTACTTTAGCGAAGTTTCATTTAAATAAGTACATTCGTTTAGGCGCTAGTCTATAGCAACGCAGGTTTTCTGCATTTTTATTTTTTTTCTCCTTTATTAACTTATCAAATTCTTTCAAAGGTTATATGTAGCATATTTTCGTAACTCCGAATAATGCGAAATGGTTAACTTTTTAAAATAAACCATATTAAAGGTACTTTAGAGGAAGACATATATGAACATTAGGCATTTAAGCCCTGTAAAGTGACATCAATGAGGATAAGAACTAAATGATATTAAAGACCACTTAATTGTACAATGATACACCGAGTTTGATCAAAATTGTTAGAGTGGCACTTCCGGTTAGCCGATTTTAACGAAAAAGTTGCTGTCACATCCGGCCCATATACAAACCTTAAATACTTAATATCAGTTTCGTACTACTTTTCGTTTATGAGCTTAACTGTTAACACACACACACACAGACCATTTTGCGACACTTGGTTACTTGAACTCAGGGGACCTCAAAAAATGTATTTCCGTTGAAAACTGAGATTCGAAAATTTTCACGATCACAATACTTACCCTTACTAAATATTACATATATACGTAAGTGAAAGTAAAAAAATCATCAAGTAACCTTTAAGAAAATTAAATTAGTGAATAATTTGATGAATTTTCCCGTAGTGAAAATTCATGTTTCAGCAATTGATTCACTATTATTTTCACCAATACTTGCTCAGAGGAACAACAGTCATTGTAAATTCCTGTTTGATCCTGCAAAACATTTCTAACATTATCAGCCTGTGGGACATTCACTAATTCCAACCAATATGATTCCACATTACACCAGCGGATCCAGGATTTATTTTTGGAGGGCTTCAGCCCGAAAACTTTTTTTTCATAAAAATAACGATAATTACTTTGGAAAACAGAAAGAAACTAACTACCTATATGAAATGGTGTTTAAGTTATTCCTTAAGTACTTTTAAATGTAATTACACGAACAATAATACTTTAAGAGGTATTTTCTAAAATGTTTTCCCATAAAACATGGTTATAATTTTCCATTTTAGGGGGGGCTTCAGCCCGAAAGCCCCCCCCCTCCCCCCCCCGTAGATCCGCTCGTGCCACATTATATTCTCCAACAGTTGCTGATCAGACATCTTCTTTCAGAAAATATAAATAACCCAAATCACTGAAGGATGCTAAACCACTAAACCATGCAACTTGAAAATAGTAACTGACTATCTGATATTTAATAACCAACCCTCTTTTTTAATTAATCAGCCCTTAAACTACAGAATTTATAAATCAGCTGATAACCCTACATTATTATCATTCATAGAAGACAATAATTTTAAGTAAATATTGCTATGAAAGCATGTAAAAAATCTCTAACAGATTCACTGCCTCAATCTACAGTATTCCACCAAATTTAAACAATCAGGACAATTTCTTTGATTTACTAATCATCAAATAAATTTTCTATCCCCTCCTCTAAAAACTTATAATTGTATCCTGCAAACCCAGGAAACTTGGATATGTACTTGATCTACCATCATCAATTCAAGAAACAATAGAAAACATTAGGCAAATAAGTGTTGAATATTTAAATGTCCTTTCTAAATATGTATTTCTTTGAAAGTTTATTAATAAAGGCATGTTTTTAATTAAATACTTTAAATATTAAAATAAGAGCTAAGTTGGCTATATGTACTTTTTCTGCTCTGCTGTAATTTTTATCCTACGCAAAGCAAAATGAGGGTTATGTGTTCGGGTCGTCCGCTAAAAGCTATGTAACACTTTTTTGAGCAAAAGGCTGGATCAATTAGTCAACGTCAAATTTCATGTAACGAGTATGCAATTGAGCTACAAATATGATCATTAGATGAGATAATCCCTGAAGTGTATGTTTGAGAGGGGACAATTTAAGTTGATGGCTAAAATAATACTGACTCGTTATTAAATAAAATGTGTTTAATCAATACGCAAAAAGCTTTACAACACTGTTTTGAGCGAACAGCTAGATCGATTATTAAGTTTGATATGTTTTGAAACAATTTGAGCTCAAAATACTGAAAAAAATATCTTCTTATTTTTCTTTTTCTAGGAAGCTTCAGTTTATATATTTTTTTAAGGTTAAGGCAAATATACTTTCATTTTTCTTTAGTCTTTTTTAATCACATCTATTACATCTGACGTTTCGGAACAATTTTCCCATCCTCAGAAAATTCCTTATGTTTACTAAATGAACTATTATTACATTGTTAATCTACTCTATTTATTGCCTAATTATTTACTATTTGACTTTTTGATGTGGCACTAATTGCCAAAAATTACAATAATTGTCATATCTATTTAAATATAATACTTTTAGGTGTTACACATTCATTTTCTGTCCATGATCACACCAACCAACATCTGGCTACTTCCAGTACCTGGCTATCTCTGAGGATGGGAAAATTGTCCCGAAACATCAGATTTAATAGATGTGATTAAAAAAGACTAAAGAAAAATGGAAGTATATTTGCCTTAACCTTTGAAAAAAATATATATTATGGTTTAAGTATCTTGATTATTAACTGATTTGAAATGATATCTTGTGATCTATATGTCATGAAAATGATTCTAATATTTTAAAATATTTTAATTTAAAAAAAAAACCACTATGGAAATTGGAAAATTTTATCCATCCTGAGGGAATATATTTCCATATCTACTGAAACATCTTGGTAGATTGATGGGGAAATTGACATCTACGAATATTTAAATTTCGTGTAGTGGTCGGGTTCCTATCACACCTCAAGACTCATTTGGGTGTTGACATACACCGAAGCGATACATGGGACTAAATATATATACCTAGAGCAATAATGTGTAGTGAAAGGAACCCGACCACTACACCAAGTTTAAATATTCGTAGATGTCAATTTCCAAAAATGTTTCTGTAGATATGGAAATACATTCCAAAGGATAGATAGAATTTCCCAATTTTAGTAGTTGGGTTTTTAAATTGAAATATTTTTTTTTTTACATATTCTGTTGAAATGAATGAAGCCTTATTTTTATTATAAGAATAATGTTACTTTCTCGACTACAAAATGTGAACAATGATTATGAATGGACTAGTTATCATTCAGTTTTTCTTAAATTGATAAATTTACTGAATTGTTGAAGGTAGTTAGTCAACTGTTCTGCATATCATGGTGATAAATAATCAGGACGCACTCATTATAAAGTTTTCATTAGTGCTGACGTTTCAATCTAAACATGTGGGTCATCATCCCGTATTTCGAACACTGAAGGTATTGAGTACTTGAATACATTCAGTGCTCGAAACACACAAAAAATGGTATACATCACAAATATTGATGAAAACTATATACCATAATCTTGATTTAAAAAAAAAATAACAAAAAAAGCCATCATATATGTCCTCAGAATCCATCTTTTTTTTTTTTTATTTAATTTATTTTATAACTTTAGATAAATATAAAGGAAAGGATATTTAAATACTTGTTGTAAGTTAGGATTTTAAGGTTTAAACTTTGAGGTCAGTTGGGTTCTGTTTGTAAGCGAATATAAGCAGGGGTGCTCATCTCTCCCAAGATCGATGGCGCATGAAAGTTCCCCCTCCACTCCTCAAGATATTTTATTGTTCTCCTCTTCTTAAAAACATAAGAAATAAAAGTTCCGTAAATCATATACAATCACACTTGATGAGGTACAAGTATGTTCCATATATTCCCTTTGTCTTCTTGTTTGAAACTTTTCGATCTGAAAATTCATTAATTCATCAAAACGTGACACCTCAAAAATTGTGATGGCGCAACTTGCACCATGAAACTTCCTTCTGGGCACCCCTGAATATAAGTGTTTACATGAACATAAATGTACAAACATAAGATTTATAAATGAAAGAAAATAATCTTTATTTCAGTACTGTCACAAAAAAAAAAAAAAAAATTAGAATAAATAAATGTTATGTTGGAAAACATAATTGCAGAATGAAATAACCATAAATAAATAAATAAAAAACTGAAAGAATATAAAGAATTATTACTTCAATAAAATAATTATAAATACGATTATAAAATAAATAAAATATTAATTATTTATTATAATATTAAATATAAATTTATCATAAAAATAATTTCTGATTTAAAATCCAATCTATTTAAAATTATATCTTTAATTTTTTGAAGAAGCTGTTTCTTGTAAAATCATTTGATATTACATACTCCTTCTTACGATGTCCATCCATAATCCAGGAGTGATAAATTTGAAAGATCATGTCTATATAGAACACTCCTCTATTCTATATAACGAAGGGTGTTCCTAGTTATTTTTGTCGAAGCACTTGTTCGCAATCTGATCAGGACCTTTTTAAATTTTTCCACTTTTTTTTTTTACTCCTCTAAAAAAAGTTGTACACAAAACTTGCCCATTTTTGTTTTTGCTATATTGCAGTATAATGAACAGACAAACTGCTCAATGACCTCATTATCTGTCTTAAGTGTCTGATTCTCCTAAATTTCTCAAGTTCTGTTGAGCCAGGTCTTCCTGAAATTTTTTAAGCCATACAGTTCCATCTTGCCCATTCTAAAAAACCAAAAAGGAATTTTAAAAAATATTAATGTTGATTTTATCAATGTTTTAATGAAGGTCATTTGATCCCATTACAAGAAGCATTTTATAATTATACAAGCTATAGTTAGGAGAAGAGGTTAAGAATATGAAACTTAGATCTGCATAAAAAACTTACCTAAAAATGAAAACCAAGAACATAACCAACAGCTGTAAATGGTATAGTTAAAAGGTAGACTACCCCCACAAAGGCGCTTAGTGTATAAATTGGAAGTGAGGCAGAGCTATCTATGTAGAATAATATACAGTCCAGCACAACAAAAACAGTAACGGAAATCCTTAAAAATATAATAATCATTAAACAAAACAGATCTTGATGCATGAGTTATGTATAAAAATATATTTAGGTACACACACAAGCCTATTTCTTTATAAACATGCTAAAAGATAGGTAACAAAAAAAATCTCTTTTTAAAGCAATAAACCCATTTTTTTCTTAAAGAGTTTATCCAAGTGGTGTAAACAAACAGAAAGAGAGAAAAGTTAAGACTAGTGTCTGACTAAAGTAAAGTTCAGGGGATTGATTTCATATTGGCAGACTGCAAGGGACAGTGTTTAAAAAAATTATAAAAATAATTTTGAGTTCTACCAATGGGTAGTTTCTGTTCATGTTGTACATGTCATGTTACCAATGTCACATTTACTTATTGTATTTTCCATGTAATACAGTTGTAAATCTCAATAAAATAAAATTAAAAAAAAATAATAAATAATTTAATTCAAAAAATCTACAAAATAAAAATAAATATACACTGACAGGCAAAAAAATCCACCCACTTGTTACCCATTAAGAAACCACGTTGGAAAGGTTGGCTCTGGGAAAAATTACAGGCTGCATATCTTTCGTTTCTTCTTCTACACACCCTTTCACGCCCGTCTGGAGATCGAAGAGCGAATCTTGACTCATCTGTAAAAAGTACAGCACTCCATTCGTCCATAGTCCAATGGCTGTGTTCTCGAGCAAAAGCAAGCCGTGTTACTCTGTGAGTTCTGGTCAACTCTGGTCCTCTTACTGGACGAAAAGCCATTAATCCATACTCATCTAATCTTCTCCGAGCGGTACGTTCAGAAATTTGCACACCTCGAACTTCTTCGAGCTGATGAATCGCTTGAACAACGGTAAGGTGCCGGTTTCATAAAATTCTCAAAGTCAAAAACCGGTCATCCCGTGGTTCTGTTACCCTAGGCCGTCCAGAACCGGGCCTTCTATTGTAAGAACCAGTTTTCCGAAAACGCCTGACGGTGTCTCGTAAAGTTTCATATGGAATTAGATGCATATCTAATGGAACGTCCAAAACATCAATAAGTGCCACACCACATGCGCAACATCCTCAGCTCTAAGAGGCATTTTTAAACTTAATATTGAAAAAATTAAAAGCCGGAGACTAAGAAATGTGCTGCAAGAAACGGCACTGAACTAATGATACTGAATAAACATTTTGATTCCATAGAAAGTAAACATTGGAATCTAGAATCATTTCATTGAATTAAGGATTAAGGGTTATTGTCCTCTATATTAACATTCCTAATTGAAAAACAAAACAAAAAGAATACCTATTTATTCATTAAAAACAATAGACCAATCCAAAGCAGAAATATTTTTAGATGAAAACATGAAAAAATCAAGTGGGTGGAATTTTTTGCCTGTCAGTGTATATAAAAGAAATAAATTCATCAAAATACATGAATTCAAAATACAAAACACAATAATGTTATAAATTAACAAATCAGGATATTTTTATTTTTTTTTTTTATTTTTTATTGAATAATAATACAATCAGCCACTGTTGGAGGGCTATAAGTATTAAGGCTAAAAGTTCTCATTCATACAGTATATATATATAAATATATATAAGTATATATTTATATATATATATATAAATGTCTTACCGTTAATACTGTCTTAATGCACTACATTTGACTGATTCAGGGCATAATGATTAGAACCACAGGAATTAACGTGCTTACTGAGGATTTTTCTAATTTGGTAAGAGAGGAAAACTTCTTATGTTTAAAGGAATTCAATCATGGATGAAAAACAGCAGTAGGTTCACCCCACTTAAACATTAGAGACCGAAGAAGAAGAAAAACCAGCGCTGGGAAGAATGCTAGATTTCAGAAACTTCAGACTCAAATTCATTTTCTACTAGATTCAAAAAAAAAATATCAGGTTAAGCCTTTGGGTATGACTTTGAATACAAAAAAATAATGGACACAGCGTAACCTGTTAATCTTGCAGAAGTGTGTTTTTGTGCAACCATGCTTAACATCCCACTTCAGTAAACATTCATATTGCCGATAAGGCAAGTGAGGGTGGAAGAAATATTTTTATTATTATATATCCACACATATATTATTACAGTAAGGCTCGAAATCGGTTTTGTACCAAATATAAGCTCCTGTCATACTCAAATACCCTGAATGGGGTACCGTTGGATTCAGAATTTCACGGGGGGTTAGCGAATCATATTCTCCACATTTGTTTTTCTTTCTAAAATAAATAAAGTCCATACAAACATTTTGCTAGGCTTCGATACTGGAACTGTGATAGGTCTGTAGATCGATATGGGACAAATTGGATCTTGAAGATATTGATGCGTACAGGAAGACCCGGATAGTTCCTCCGGAACTATCAGATCGCGCGTTTTTAAACCCAAAAACGTACTATTTTCGAGATAACGCAAGGCATAGCGTTCGCATCCACACAACCTTACATTAATTGTAGTACTGTCATTGAATACATGTCTCATTTCATCGACTTGAGGTCTCTATGATCGAGAGAGGAGCAGTTTATATTATTTATCGATGGTGTTTTTGATCGGCAAGCCATATCATCATTAATTCTTCACCAAATCTCAAGATTGAGCCACCAATTTCGAAGGCTTCCTTCTCCTTCAGGCAGGCAAAATAGTTCTATCACCACGAAAATTCAGGCAAACAAGTTATGAAAGAAAACAAACTTTATTTGCGAATAACTAAAAAATTACACACTTTTCCCTCGGTTATGCCAATGATTATATAAAAGATTACTAAATTCCTTGCAAAAGGAAAAAAAAATCATTGAAATCGGACAATTTTTTGCAAAGATACAGCTTATTGAAATTTGTAAATATGTTAGTTCCAAACATTAATGAAGATTTAAATTAATTTTGTTTTCTTTGACGATTATATTTATTGATAAAGTAACAATTGATTTCTTTATCTTTTGATACGTTGCATTATTTTCTTTTCTTATTAATTTGGCATTTGATAACAATATGCTGTGCGAATTTTTCGCACGGGCCTACTAGTTTTATTATTATTTAATTATTGTAGTCATCTTGTATTGTGAAGATTTAACTGTGTCATTCAGTACTTATAATAGGCCAATCCTATACACTCAAATTGGTACTCAGTCACCTAGAACAGAGGACTGAAAAAATTATAGTTTTATACCAGTTTTTAATAAACTATCAATAAATAAAACAATGTAGAAAAAATATGAGGAGATAACAATAATAGTATGGTGCCAGTTAGAGGCTGTGATGAGGGTGTTAAGGCCTTGTCCACTTTAACTGGTTCAAATCCAGCCTGGGTGAGTTGACATTTATTTCAAGGCAAATCTAAGGAATGAATCTTGACCTTCTCACTTTGGGTTGTTAAGATTGTTACTACCTCAAAACAAAGTACAACCTACAAGTTGTATCTATAGAACAAACTTCCCCCTTTCTCATATGCCGGATATGACCAGGTAAAGATTAATAAAAAAAAAAAGTAGTGTATCAGATTTACTTCTTGTTCAGAAAAATATTGTTATGTAAATATATGTTATACACTTGGGAATTTATATTAAACATATATCATGAAAGAACACAGTATGATCTTTAATAATATATGTAAAACATGCATATAATGTTAAAATACATTTACAAAGTTTTCACTTTCTAAACAAAAAATAAAAGTGAGTTACATTCTGACTCCCTCATACATTTTCTAAATTATTTGAAAAAATATTAATATATTACTGTTCCTGAATAAATAGCAGTAAGTAGTATGACAGAAACTTGTTTTGTTAATTTAGAGACTAACTTTTTGATACTAAGAACTTTATTTTCGAGCAATTCAATCAATATAAACTTTTTTTAATTGCTGACTAGTGTTGAAATAATTGTTTTTTAAATATAAAATTGTAGAAATTTCTAAAATTATTATTATTTTTCTTGTAAATCTACTGGGGCATGAAACTGGCATGTTTATAAAAAAACGTCCTACATAAATACATACCTTACATAAAAAAAAAAAGATTGAACAGCTTACTTCATTAAATTAATTTTTGTAAAAATAATATAATTTTAGGTTAAAATTACATTTTCGATATGAATAGATATATGAAGTTTGTTAACGCCACAGCGTTAACTTATTTTATTTTTACAGTTAAAAATGCCACAGCGTTAATTCAATTTATTTTACACTTAACTAGTTTGATTAATTGTTGATTTGTTTTATTTTAGCAAAGTGAAATCAATAAATAATATGTATATTTATCTATAAGATAGGTGTATATTAAGTATTATAGGCCCATAGCTTATATTGTTTATATTAAATAAATCAATAGTCTATACTTGGACTACTTTGTTATGGATTGTAGTAGCACTAGCTATAAACAAGTGCTAGGTTCAAGTCATAAAGCGGTAGAATTGACAAGGGACGGTCTGACTCCGCCCGCTACTGAGCTGAGTACTGCCAACTTCAACACTGCCCAATGCAGTTCTACTCTGGAGAGACGTACTTCTCTCGTCGTGCTCGCCGCTGCCCATTCGAGTTCGTTTTGAGCAAGCTCATTGAAGAGTTACAATTGGTTTCTGCATAGAGACAGAGGTTTACGAACGTCCTGCTTCGTCCACGTAACGTTGTACAATCTAATTATTTGTTATATGTATAAATTTCATATTGGGACTTTAGAGAAGTTGTTTTTTTTTCTTATTTTATTTTTATTATAATTTGGGCCATAGAAATAGTTTTTATTTATGATCAAGCATGAAAATGTTTCATTAATATAGTCACAATTGTTTGTTCAGCTGGTCTTTATTTTATGCTAGAAGTTTGTTCTTTTTTTACCTATCTAACAAGTGTAAAATTGATTCATTTTGTTTTTATGTTTTCAATATTAGATTTCGTAAATGTTCCAAAATAAATGTTTGAAGATACAGTCCACTTTATTTCTTTTTCTTTTATTAAATCACAATTAAATAGTTAGGCTTCATTCAAAGTTTGACATAAACTAAGAGAGAGCGAACAAAGTTAAAGAAGAAAAGCAATAACTAAATTGGGTATGATCTATAACCAAAATTCAATTACACTATTCAATAGCTAAAGGATCTAAGAATTCGTTAAACTAATTGGGAACGTAAAGCTTAATGTGCAGTGGAGAAGATTGATGATTGAGTATCGCAATTTGTAGTTTGTTTGTCAACTTATACAACTTCTATACAAATAACTTTTGCTACAGTGAAGCTAGGACGTACATTTACATTTTAATCAATAGCACAAGATTTAACGAATGCTTATATAAAAATAAAAGTGGTTATAATAAATTTAAATAGGGATAAGCTGAAATTTTACCATTACAAAATTCAATGTAATTGGATTGAAGTACAAAACTTCTATAGAATTGGAAAAAGCAGCTCAAGAGGAATCCAATGATACCCATAGCACTCGATATAAATGAAATATGTTGTACTGGGAAGGCAAAAAGTCATGTTATCACTTTTACATCAATCCTAGAGCACAAAGATACTGAATGATCACCTATCACCATCCTGGCTAGATGATAGTGCCTAATGAAACAATTAAATTTTTTGCAGGAGGGATTTCACTCATTCTGATTGAAGAAGCTGCGATGCATGGTCTATAAGGATATGTATAGGCTCCGGATAACTTCCACAGATACTCAAGATGAGGATTATGGATTAGCCCAACAGATGAAAACAGGTACCATTATGGAATAAAACAGATAGGGGTCTGAAAATTTCAATTAATTCAAGTATTTCACAATATATTAGACATGTATGCATATAATCTTTAAATAGATTGTTCATATAGAAAAAGAGTGCCAAAATAAGAAAAAATTGAATTTCACATATATTACCAGTTCGCATATTACCCTTTAAAACTTCAAGTCAGCTATTTTCTTAATTAATAATGCTCATTTTTTTTTTATTATAAAAACAGTAGTTAATCTCCATTCTTTAATCATTTCAATATAATTACCAATAAGATTCCATTAGTTTGAATAAAAAAAATTGTCTTTTCAGTAAGTATTAACATTAAAAATCTGAAGCTTTTCTCAAAGGAATATAGGTGAGTAGAAAAATTTTCCTCTCACAATAAAAAAAAAAAAAAAAAAAAAATGAAAAAATTCCTATTTTGGTAGTCTTTCAAATGAATGATATGTTTAATAATTATATTTAAAAATTTTAATGTATGCTTTAAGACAATTTTAAAATCTGTTTTGAGAAATATAGAATGAAGGAATACATTAAAATATAATATTGGATTTAAAACAGTAAATGTTAACAATTTTGACAAGAAATACTTACCCAGGACAAATGATGGAAGAAATCAAAACGTAAGTATCCCACTTCTCACCACCATAACCTTTATAATACAATGATGCACCATACCCACCAACAGCCCCTAGAAGAACAAAGATTCCTAGGGCGCATAACATTTGTAAATCCCTTCCATCAGGAAGCAAATATGCGAGCAAAGAGAATCCTACACAAAAAAAAATTAACTAAACAAATATACATTATAACATCCTAAATAAATAAAATGAAACATATAGCTAAATACATAAAAATTACCCTTAACATATTCTCAAATTTTAAATTTATAGAATCATTGACATCTCAATATGTACTCCTTAACCTTCTTTATTTCTTTATTCTTTATTATTAAAGGATCTAAACATCTTTTTTATCGTACCATATCACAGCCCTGATACAGTTTATTCACAGTTATAAGTTTACCTTGTAATAAGCGAGACATAAATATATAGTGTTGAGGAAAATGTAGTTTGGGTTTTTTTTTTTCATATATCTCAAAGTGAATTTATTTACAAAAGTGAGTAGCACTGCGGGAGGCAGTTGAAACACTGTTCAACTTTCAACTCCTCCTCAACAAATCATTTACTTTTAAATACAGATAATTATGTACTCAACAGAAATGGTAAGGAAGCTGTATTGATCCTACTTGGCAGACATTTTTATAATTTGACTTACACAACAAAATAATAAATTTTTATAAGTTAAGATTAGATTAAAAACTTTAAACATTGAAAAGCATACCTAAAGTTGAAATAGCCATAAACAACAATTGAAACACAGACCCTAATAGTATTGATAAGGTCACTCTTACAGCAGGTCGTGCATAGCCATGAGTAATTAATTTCCAGCGCAACTTAGGGTCGAGTGTTTCTCCATGTTCCATCTACAAAATTTTAGATATCACGAATGTTTACAAAAAGTAAAATGTATCATGTAATATCTCAAAACATATATATTTTTAACAGGAGTTAACACACAGCTTAACACATAGAATGACATAGTATGCAAGGGTTAATTAATAAACATTCATATTAGTTACATAAATTAATTATCAGCTTAGTAAGTGCCTGAAGCTTTCCAGAGCCATCAAAACTGCCTTTTCCCAACCATTTCAGTCAGCGGGAAATGCGCAAGATACTTGTAGCTGGCAGCGCAAAACAAGCAACAGATACTTTTATGGCTTTGGTAGATTTACAGTAATTTTTGTAAATAAATTATAAAATTTTTGGTAACAATATTCTTTCAGTAATTTACAAAAGTAAAAATAAGAATTAAAAATGTTTAAAATTACCATCTTATAAGATTTATTGTCTCTGTACACCACTGTAATAATAGTGACTGGAATCAAAACAGCTAAAAGAACAGCCAATATTGAATATTGTAGAGGAATCCAATGTAGATTTGAGAAAGGCATGGAATGAAAGATGTAATCCCAGCGGGAAGAGTACTTCATATTATCATTTCTCTGAAAAAAAAAATCCATTATTATCATAATTTTAGGCAGAGATCATACATGGATATGTACTAAACAGAGTTAGAGTATATATATACAGTCATGCACGCTCGCCCACAAAGAAACACCATACAATACATTCAAAAGGTTTCGGAAGTTATTTACAACCTAATTAAATTATGAAATTTTAAAATACATTTTATATACATTTGACTTTTTCAGTCATTGAATTTATAGTCTTTCAAAAGGCTTTAAATTGAATCTTATAAATTTCTCTCTCTCTCTCTCTCGAACAATAATTTATAAGTTACTATCAAATACCTCGCTTCCGTTTTCAGTTTTATTATAAAATGTAATTATCATTATAATAACGTAATAGAATTGAAAAAAAGATAAAAAATAAAAATACTGTAATACTTTTTATTGTAAAATACCCAAATTGTAAATAACAAAAACCTATGTGGTATGCTGATGACCCTCTAGAAGGCAAATGCATTTTTAAAATACATAAATAAACCATCAATAATGGAAAAAACAACTTACAATAAATTTGAAGCTGTAAGTATACTTTATGAGAAATTCTTCTTTCAAAGGAATATCACCCGTAGGTATTTCCAAAGGATGTTCAGAGGAGCAATCATTATCATCATAGTGATGAATACTTGATGGAACCACTTTAACATCTATTTCAAAAGATTAAAAAAATTAAACTACTTTCATGATTAAATAAATATTGAACATACAAACAGAATAACACTTACTAACTAGTTTGCCGTTAGAATATGTAGAGGATCCTTCATAAGTCATTATGAAATCAACATGATTAAAAATATAGTATTTTCCATTTTCATCAAACTCAAACTGTTAAAAAAAAATTAAAACACATTAAATGAAACATTTTTAAAGGTAGATTAAACTTACTAAAGATAGATTATCGACTAGAACCTGATCAAATAGTTTATAGCAGAAATCTTGCATTTCATATCCAGTGAAACAACCAATTGGAAATCCAGATACACAATTATTTCTCTTTTGACTTTCTGATTCAGTGTAACTATCAGGTTCATGACACCAGAGACCAGGAATATCATTACCTATAATATCAATTTAAATTATGTACAAAGAATAAATGTTCTTGTTATAAAAATATGTCAAAATGTGTATGTTTATGAGTAAAACATAATTTTCTTTAATAGACACATAAATATAAAAACATGTTTTGCTAATTTACATACCTCGTGCCATGTACTATATAAATTAGCTAGCATAGACTTAATTATAAGTATTAATAAGTTGAAATAAAAATTAATAAAAGAAAAACTGTGTTTTTGTAACTGTCAACAATATTTAACAGCAACTACATCTCTATTATACTCTTTGTTCCTCTAAGAAATCATTATTTTGTTCTAATCAGGAGTTCTATATAAAGTAGACCTCAGGAAAAAAAATCACCTAGATAAAAATTTTAAACAAGCATTTTTAAATGCTTCAAAATCAAGATTAAAGAACATCGGACAATGCATGGTGCGAAACTAAGATTTTAGATGATATAAGTGTAATGATAGTGTATAGACAAAAAGAAAGGTTGAGTAAGTTCCCAAATAAATCAATCTCTATATTTTCAACAATGTGCAACATCATGTGTTTTATATTAATATCTAACAATAATAATAATCCATATAAAACCCCTTACATGTGCATTGTTTTACTAACTTAAAGGTAGATTTTTTGCAAATTTGAAGAAAATCAAACCACCCATTTAATCATATATGCATAATCAGGCTGGCTACCAAAGTATTCTATAAGTAATATAAAGTAAAATTCCCTGACTTTTTCCTATTTAGTGATAGTTTTCCCTGACCAGTATGTCTGGAGACACAAATATTAAAAATGTATAATTTATAAACAAAATTATTTATTATACATGAAGTATAATAAGTAATGAAGAAGTCGGTTGTTCTGAATGCTATCTGAGGTAAGGCAGATTTTATCGAAAAGAATAACGAATATTTATAATCAATTTGACATCTAATTGCCGAACCTTAAACTAATAGTTTGTGAGGATGGATATAAAGATTCTGCTCCAGACATCAAAAAATTAGCTGTGAAACTGCCAGAGGTCTCGTTCAGTTAACCAACAAATGGAATTCAAAGGTTTAGCTGACAGTTCATGAGAATTGTTATGATGCTGACATATTCAACGCGGTAAAATGCAATTTTTTTTTTAAACTTAATGCTCGATCTACATTTTAAGATTGAAAAATGTTCTAATGAACGTTTATCTATATACAGAATTACCGTTAAGAAGTTCATTACTTTCTTTAAAAAATATGTCCATAGATGTTAACCCTCCAAGGCGTCTGAAAAGAAGACGGCCTCGGGACCTTCTAATATAGAAATACACTGACAGGCGAAAAAATTCCACCCACTTGATTTTTCCTGTTTTCATCTAAAAATATTTCTGTTTTGGATTGGTCTATTGTTTTTAATGAATAAATAGGTAATCTCTTTGTTTGTTTTCAATAAGGAATGTTAATATAGAGGACAATAACCCTTAATGCATAATTCAATGAAATGATTCTAGATTCCAATGTTTACTTTCTATGGAATCAAAATGTTTATTCAGAATCATTAGTTCAAGGCCGTTTCTTGTAGCACATTTTTTAGCCTCCGGCTTTTAATTTTTTCAATATTATGTTTAGAAATGCCTCTTAGTGCTGAGGATGTTGCGTGTAGTGTGACACTTATTGATGATGTACGTTCCATTAGATATGCAGCTAATGCCATCGGAGTCCCATATGAAACTTTACGAGACGCCGTCAGGCATTTTCGGAAAACTGGTTCTTACAATATAAGACCTGGTTCTGGGAGGCCTAGGGTAACAGAACCATGGGATGACCGGTTTTTGACTTTGAGAATTTTACGAAACCGACACCTTACTGTTACTCAAGCAATTCATCAGCTCGAAGAAGTTCGAGGTGTGCAAATTTCTGAACGTACCACTCGGAGAAGATAAAATGAGTATGGATTAATGGCTTTTCGTCCAGTAAGAGGACCAGAGTTGACCAGAACTCACAGAGTAACAAGGCTGGCTTTTGCTCGAGAACATAGCCATTGGACTATGGACGAATGGAGTGCTGTACTTTTTACAGATGAGTCAAGATTCGCTCTTCGATCTCCAGACGGGCATGAAAGGGTGTGGAGAAGAAGAAACGAAAGATATGCAGCCTGTAATTTTTCCCAGAGCCAACCTTTCCAACGTGGTTCCTTAATGGTGTGGGCTGGGATTTCAATGGAGCACTGCACAGAATTGGTTGTTGTTCATGGAGGGTCTTTTACGGCCATTCGCTATGTAGATGAGATTTTGGAACCTCATGTGATGCCTATCCTCATCGAAATCGGCGATCGTTCTATTCTAATGCAAGATAATGCACGCCCACATGTCGCCCGCATAGTGCAGACGTTCCTTCAACAGAACAATATTGAGGTTTTAGCCTGGCCAGCACGTTCTTCAGATTTGAAACCCATTGAGCATTTATGGGATAACCTCGGAAGATGAATAAGAGTGCATGCAACACTTCCTGATACACTGCAGGACCTTAAAAGGGCTCTTCCGGAGGAACAGGCTATCCTCCAGCAAAGGGACATTTCCCGACTGGTGGAAAGTATGCTGAGGCGTCTTCAAGAAGTAGTGAAGGCAAGAGGAGGAAACATGCGCTACTAAACGATGATGCAATTAATTTCTTTTAGAATAATAATGGTTCGTTTTTCAATTTTTTTTTCTGTAATCTTTCTAACCCAATCACATTTTGATTATTAAAGGTAAAAAAGATTATAAAATTCCATAAATACTAAGTATTATCTACAAATACCATGTATTATATACAAATACAACTTTACAGAAATATTTTTAGATGAAAACATGGAAAAATCAAGTGGGTGGAATTTTTTGCCTGTCAGTGTATAATTGGAGTGCTACCAATGGGTAGTTTCTCTTCATGTTGTAGATGTCATGTTAATTATTTCATATTTACTTATTGTATTTATCATTTAATCCAGTTGTAACTTTCCTTAATAAAAAAACATACATGTCTATAGATGTATATGTTACAAATAGTAAATAGTATTGGATTGTTTTTCTTTTCAAAAAAGCACTTTATAACGGCAAAGTTTACCCCTTCAAGATCATTATAAACAAGTCGGTTGCCACTCTGATAATAAATAAGCACGGCAAGGAACAAATGAAATGCTGAATGGTCAAGTTAAACCAGGAGCTTGCTGAATCTGTCAATGAAAGAGCATTCTAAAGGTAGCCAATGATTATTTAAATAAAAAGATTGTATATTAACAGTTTATTCTTGTGTATTTGAGACAAAACTCTGCCCTCAATGAAAAGTAATTTGCTTGAATCATTTATATTTTCTATTAATAAAGCAAGTCAACATTCTCTGGGCAATAAGGATTCTACAAGAGGCAAATGAATTTGTGCCTTCAAAATTTAAACCGAAATATCTCTAAGTGTCCAAGACGTTCACAAAAAAATTTTAGGTAAAAAATATGACTTCATTTTGTGAAAATTAGAAGGAAAATGGAAAATAATAAATACAATTTTTCATAATCCGATTAATTTATAAGTATATTTATAATATTTCAGTTAAAAATCTAATTTAAGAATAAAATAAAAATTTAAGCTAAAATATCTTAAGCAGATATAATTAAAATTAAATGAATCATACCCAACATCCAATGCCGTCTGAAATTCAAACGTATTCCTTTCCTAAGAGCATCTAGTTGTTCTTTACCTTTTTTATCTCCTCCAACAAACTTCTTGGTACAGAGATGTTTACAGGTTACGTTTTTGGCAAAAGATATCTGAATACAAAAAAAAAATCTATTGACAGTAAAAATAATAGTCTCAATATTTCTCTCTTCTACTTCAATGCATAATATTTATTTTCCAATTTATTTATTTTAAACCAATTTTTAATTTAGTCAACTTAATGACTACATCTTAATTATGACGTTTCGGCTCATCGAGCCATTTTCAAATTCATCATGTACCTGTCCATTTCACTTATGCGAATTACATGCGTCTACTCATAATAAAATGTTTCACTATTGTCATGCCCAACTTTAACTTATCATGTATCACCCACATGTTGTCGGTCTCATTTCTATTCAGGGACTTGAATAGAAATGAGACTTACAAATAAAATCTTAATTATTTCTTCAAGTGCAAAGTCAGTAAGTGCACTAAAGTAAGTTCAATAGTGAGTTAATATAGAACTAGTATATTTATTTTATTTCTCTCAAAATTAGACATTTTTCCAACAATCAAAAAACTATTAGAGACTAGAAATTAATTTTTTTTTTAATTGGGCCAAATCAAACTTTAAATTCAATTTTCTCAGAATATTTTACTTATCACTTTTATATACTTGATCTTTCAAATTATTGATGCCTTCTTTCTCTTTAACACTCTAACGACCATGCCATTCGAGTTTTTTTTTTTCTCTCAAAAGTATCATGCATTTTTTTTTTTAGTTTTAAAAATAATTTAATCGTGACAATTTAAAAAAAAAAAAAACGGAGCAGGCTATATACCCGTCATTGTCCATAGGGATATTACAGTTTTTTTTTTAATGTCTATTTTCCTATTTTTATCCTTGGTAGTTATTTCCTACGTTTTCATACTTTCTTCACTTCTCTCTTTTCTTTTACACAACAAATATTATTAAGACACTTCAGTTTACTATTACAAGTTATCATCAATGAATCCACTAATATATTTCTGATCTTGTCATTTCTAACCAACTCTCATTGTTTTAAATTTTTCTTATTCTGCAGTAGTCATTTAGGTATTCTGAAACTTTATGTCGCAGATAGTCTTTCCAGAGTTGCTTTTCCACACTTTTATTTTTTAGCATCATTTTAGTTGGGAACATCAATCTCTTAATATTTAGTATCTGCTACCAGAAGCAAATGATAATGCTACGTTCATCTGATCAAGCAATTAATACCTCTGAGAAAAGCATAACACATCAACTAAAAATAAAATTATACACAATAAGTAGAAGATAGATAGAAAAAAAAAACTTTATTCTGGGACTAAGTCCCTTCAGAATAACAATAATGTACAAAATAATAGAATATTACTGGCCTGAACGTTGAAACAGTAAATAACATTGATAAAATAAAATAAAAAGTAAAGAAAACCTTAGGTGCACAAGCTATATACAATACAGATACAACTATGTACAGAGCATTTAAAATTATGAATAAAACAATTAAAACTATGAACGAATCATTTGAACTATGACCAAAATTATATTTAAGGGTTGAACAACATAAACATACACTTTGAGAAATGAAGAACGAAAAAGAGATACAATGATTTCATTTCATAAAAAAAAAAACTTTACTTGAATATATATATGAAAATAAACAGTTACTTATAATTGAATAAAAAAAAAAAAAAATACAAAAAAATGTATGTATTGAAATTCCTACGTCGATAGTAGTAAATGCATGTACTATCTCTTACCAGGTGTTATGATTGCTACACAATACATATATAATATTAATCGTTAGCTGGTATCTGCCTGTTTTTGGAACAGGAATTGGAATAGGAGGTTTTTGAATGTGTACAGGGAAGGGGCATGTCGAATTTTGATCGGGAGGGAATTCCAAAAGTTGACAGAGCGAGCTATAAAGGAATTTTGGAATGAGGCAGATCTATGAGAAGGGATGTATAGGTCAGAGGGTCGGGATCTTGTAGTGAGTGAATGGATTGAGGACTTAAATTGGAGAAGGTTGTAGGCATAAGAAGGACGATGATCGGTAATGATTTGATAAAGGAAAGTGCCAAGGAAATATTGTCTTCTTAAGGAGGGGAAGAGCTACCCTAACTCAGTGTAGTGGTGGGAGACACGGGAGCGTCTCGGGGTTCCGATTACAAATCTTACGAAGCAATTCATAAGTCTTTTGAGATGATGGACATTAATAAAAACAACTCACATCATAATCGGATATTGTTTCTCCCAAAGTAACCATTTCTAACCACCCAATAGATGGGTATGGACGTTCACAAAAACCATAACTGAAACAGAATGATTGAAAATATAAATTTTTAATCAATAACTAATCTATAACTAACAATTAATCAAATGCTAAACAAACTAGTAATATAAGAAGTGAATACTGACTCAGATATAAAAGGATCCATTTCTCCGGTAACTCTTTTTTCAAACAAAAGAACTGGACTATCCTAAAATAAGATAAAAATTATAGTACATGTCAAAATACATAAAATTATTTTAATATCATTAACAAATAAGAATATTGTGAAGACTTATATTAATAATGCGCAATGAGAAAACCTTCATAAAATCCTTCCTAAGATTAATTCAAGAGATTAGAACCTGGCCAAGAAGTTTCTGTTCAGTGACATCAGGTAAAAAAAACTATAAAATTTGTCATATAATTATAATAAAATGGACAGGTAACTATGTACTGATAGGACTAGCAAATGTTATAATGAGTAAACTTAACACAATCTTGTAGGGTCATTCTACTAACATAAAAGTGACAAAATAAGTTATCATCTCTTAGGCAGTGATCATCGAGCATATGTGGGAGGATTAGTGGGAATCACCTAAGAAACCTGATTAAAAAACTTTTTTTGACAGCACTTATAAAATCAGCTTGACACAGCATAGAATGTCTGTGTCCTCTAAAACCAATCAAATCAGATTCCATTAGAAAAAAAATTCTAGTTCCATAATACTTTATAATCAGTAATTTGTTTTTTTTATGAAAATGAAGAGTGAGCGCATTGCTAAAAATCAAGCATGTTGGTCTGGTAAAATTAAATATAAACAGAACATATACTGCTTTCCTTTTAATTATAGAACTAAATAAAATATATTTGCAGCACACTTTAATTAGAAACAATAATAAAAATGGAGATATACAACAATCTTAACTGATAAAATGTTGTATTGAAGGAAATTAGTCGACTTTTATACATATCATAGATGATAAAAAGTCACAACACAGTCATTTTTAAGCTTTTTACTGGTGCCGACCTTTCAATCCAGGCATGTGGGTCATCATCAGTGCTCAAAACACATCGTGATGATGACCCACATGTTTGAGTTGGAACGTCAGCACCAATAAAAATCATAAAAATGACTGTGTCCTGAGTATTGATAAAATGTTATCAGGGAAGGAAAACATTTTTTTTTTTTTTCAATCATATCATAAACAGCTAGACCATTTTTAGAACTATATTGTTACAAAATTAAGAACTCAATATTTTTATTAACCATTTGTTTGGCCTAAAAAGTTCCTGCACTGTGGATGAAATGGTAGTTAAAAGTAAGTTTAACTGTAATAGGAACATTATTCCCTTGAGGAACTTCTATAGTTAACAATCAAACACGAATTAGAAAAATGAACATTAATAGAAAAATAGTTCTCTAGACATTTTAATACAGTGAACACTAAGGTACTACTGTCAAACGTTGTTCCATCTTCATGGGTGACACAAGATCTTATGATCACACCCAAAATGAAATTTGGAGAATGGGCAACTGTGTCCACAACTGAACCTTCTGTTAAGGTCCTGACCTCAACTGAAAATGACCCTTTGTTTGTCCCTTTTTAGCAAGCAGTGATATAATTAAATCTAATTAATATCCTGATTTTAACTGAAAAGGACCAGTAGGAAGTTTGCTGAAATAGTAAATCACAATCAAAATAAAGAGAGATTATACTGTGAAAATATTGATCCTTGACTATTCATCGAACCCAATTTACACAGTGAACATGAGATCTTGGCCCATTACACAATGTGTCATGACAATTGTACAGTGGTACCCCTAAACCTGTACCGCTACAACCCATGAAGGGTCTTGGGTTTAATACTTTGTAAGGAATCATCTTCTTGGTCAACTGTTGCGTAATTTGGTAGATATCATGCTCTACTTCTAAGTTTTTAACCTTAATTAGTTAACAGTACTGACTTTCTAGAGGCTGGGTGTGTCATAGGAGGATCTCCAGCCCTGGAATTAATCCATGTCTGATATAACAGCATAAATAATTATGAGCATATTACAGAGTTTAACTTACTGAGTTACCCCGCTCTCCGTAGTAGATAACAAGTAAGAAAAATTACTTAATTTTAAGATACTTCCATAATAGGAAAAAAATTATTTAATTGTACATTAATCAGCTTGTAACAAACTGAAATTTTATCAATTACATTTTGAAAAGTATTAGTATTATTCAATATGGAATAAGTTTTAGTAGATTAAGAACCACTTGAAGTTTCCAATAGTTAAGTACCTCTCCTTCACAATAATATGTAATTCTTTGTTTAACAAGTTCTAGACAAAAAATAATATAATTAACATACCTTACTGTACGAAACAGAATATAAACCAGGAAAAGAATAACCGTTCAAACTAAAATATTTCATACTTGTGAAAAATGCAACATACTGAAGGTAAAATGCATTACATTGCTGCAATTGAGAAACACATATGAAAAACCAACAGGCAATAGAAAATGATATCCGGATTAACTCCATTTAATTATTTTACGAAAGAAGATTCAAAATGTTTGACAGAATAGCACCATTCTTACACCTTGTTACTTTGTTGATAAGGTTATCGTACACAAGAGATGAGAAATAGTCGATAGTACTATATTGATAAATAATAAATCGATATATTGTTAGCTTATAACGATAGTACCATTGATTATCGGTAGTAAGTGTATTCACTAAATCTAATTTTATATATATATATATATATATATATATATATATATATATATTACTTTCGTTTACCTATATATGTAATATATAGTAATTGAAAGTATTGCGATCGTAAAAATTTTTGAATCTGAGTTTTCAACGGAAATACACTTTTTGAAGTCCCCTGAGTCCAAATAACCAAGTCTCGAAAAATGGTGTGTGTGTCTGTGAACACTCTAGCTCCAAAACGAAAAGTCGTACGAAACTGATATTACTAATATAAGATAGGTATATGCCTTAGATGTCCTAGTAACTTTTTCCTTAAAATCGGCAAACCGGAAGCTAACCGAACCACTTTATATCCAAGCTGAAACACATTTTTACAAATCTCAAAAACGGCTCTAACGATTTTGATTAAACTCGGTGTAAAATTGTATAATTAAGTGGTCTTATCCAAGTTGATGTCACTTTACAGAGCTTAAATGTCAAATATTCATATACCTCTTCCTCTAAAGTACCTTTAATATGCTTTATTTTAAATAATTAACTATCTCTCATTATTAAGAGTTGCAAAAAAATGCTAAATATAACTTTTGAAAGAATTTGATAATTGAATAAAGAAGAAAAAAATAAAAATGCTTATCCAGGTCGAGAATGAATCTGAGGAATACTAGTCAGAAGGTATAAGTATAATATATCGTTGGAAAGCGGAGAATTTTAGAAAAAAATAATATCTAATATAGAAAGTTGTAGAAGGTAACGGAGAGTGGCGAATAAAGTATAAATAATAATTTTTGAAAACTAATAATATTTAACGTAAATCACATATTTTCAAGGAAATTAAATAAAATTTATTAACTAAATGTAAAGACTGAAGCCCGCTCCCTCCCCAAAATGGCAAAATATAACCATGTTTTATCGAAAAAAATATTAAAAAATTATCTCTTAAAGTATTATTGTTCGTGTGATTAATATTAAAATGGCTTTAGGAATCACTTAAACACGATTTCATACAGGTAGTTAGTTTTTTTCTTTTTTTCCAAAGTAATTATCGTTATTTTTATGAAAAAAAAAAGCTTTCGGGCTCAAGATCCCAGCAAAATTAAATCCTGGATCCGCTAGTGTCCACTACTATTTCATTGTACTTGTGTGAATGAAGAAGTGAAATATAAAAATATTTCATAGATACGTTTATAACCTTAAATATATTTACTGTAGTTTAATACCTCTAGTTCTGATATTACATTTAAATATGTAGGGATCTATCTTCCGTTTATCCCGAAAAATCATCATGTAACCTTTCAGAAATTTAAATTAATGAATAGTTTGATGAAATTTCCTTTTTTGATATTCCAACAGAATCCACTTACAATTAGTGTGACAACTTTTGACCTGTCTACGACAGACAATGCAAATCTCTTAATTCCGTTTTAGTAAACTTTGCAATGGAAAATTACAGTTAAATAGCTAATAGTCGTACAATCCATAATCAACGGATCGTACAATCCATGATCAAACGGTGATATAATTAAAAGCACTTTTGTTATTTTTTAGTTTTAGCTCAATTCAAAAATTGTCTAATAGCCCAACATACAATTTCCATAAATCTGCACGCAGCTCTGTTGCATCTTTGTTGATTCTATCTATCCATCTGCTTTTTGGCCTTCCACGTGGTCTTTTGCCTTCTATTGAAGCATTCATTGTTACGTAGAGGCTTCCAGATAGATTGCTACGAGCTACATGCCCGCCTATCTTAACCTCCATGCCTTTATATCACGAGATATTGATTGACCAGTTTCTGTAAGCAGTTCTTTATTGGTCTTTCTTCTCCATGTGTTAGTACTCTGATCCCAGATCGCTCCGGTTATCGTGCGGAAGATTTTCCTCTCAAATCTTTCAACACTTTTTTCTAGGGTGCTAGTTAGTGTCCAGGTCTCACAGCCATATATTAGAACTGGCTTTATCATAGCATTGTACAACCTTTGTTTGAGATATTTCGGGATTTCAAATTGAGAGGGTAAAGAAACTCAGTTTGCGCTAGTTATACGCTGTTCTCTTTCTGCTCGTTGTCATTCATTGAGGTTATTGTGGAACCGAGGTATTTGAATTTTTCTACTCTCTGGAATAATGTTCCTTCTACCTTGTTATTAGGATGTACTTTTTGGCTTATTATCATACATTTTGTTTTGTCTTCATTTGCTTGTAGGCCGATCTGCTCTGGCTAACTTATCAGTGTTGTAGCACGTTTTTCAATGCCTTCTTGATTACCTCCAAGGACAGCTATATCATATGCATATCCAAGGATTTTATGATTTATTCTGATGTGGACCCTTCCATTTTCCTATATTGTTGCTCTTATTACCTTCTCCAGAGCTAAGTTGAACAACATCGGTGATAGTCTATCTCCCTGCCGTAAGCCCGTTCGAACTTAGAAGGCTTCATATACTTCTCCTTGTATTATGACTCTACATTTGGGGTCAATTGTACACGCCTTTGTCAATCTCACCAACTTACCGGGAATTTTCAGTTCAGTCATGATTTTCCAAAGAAAGCTCATATCCACAGAATCATAGGCTGCTTTGAAATCGAAAAATAGGGCATGGACGTCCTTAGCTATTTCCCATCGTTTTCCGAGTACTTGTTTTAGGATGAAGAGCTGGTCTAGCGAGCTCCTCCCTTTTCTGAATTTCAGCTTGGTGGTCGCCTATTATATTCTCGTAATATGGATATATCCGATTTAGTAGAATATCGGTTATTATCTTTTAGGCAACCGGAAGGAGTCCTCTGTAATTACTACAGTCATTCATGGAGCCTTTCTTTAGGATCGGACAGGTTAGGCCCCTATTGCAAGCCTCAGGTTTCCTTTCCTCTTCCTATATTTTCTGGATTAGTTGTAGTAGCTTGGCTCTTAAGTCATCTCCTCTATCTTTAAACAGTTCTGATGGAAGGTTGTCTATTTCTGGGGCCTTTCGTGTTTTGAGCCTTTCAATAGCTATTTCTACATCCAGTATATCTGGCATCTTCTGGTCATCAGTGCTGTCCATGACTTCTTCGTTTGTGGGGTCCGCTTGACTGAGAAGTTCCCAGAAATGTTCAATATACTTTCTTTACATGCCGTGAGAATGGCATCTTTTCCTCGTATTTGCGTATTTCTCGCTTTATATCCTACTCTTTCTTTCCTAATGTCAACGTAGAATTCGCATATATCTCCAGCCTGCCAGTTGTCCTCAATGGTTTGCCAGCGTCCTCGTTCTTTGAGGAATTCCCTTTTTGCGGATCTTATAATTTTGTTTGACTTTTTCTTGGCAGCTATGTACTTGATCTAAGCGACTTGATCAGTTGTAGTTAGGCAGAGGACTTTCACTTTTCTTCTTTCCTCTATTGCCTTTTCGCATGCTTCTGTGAACCATGCGAAAAGGCTTTTCGTTTCTCCTGAATACCGATCACTTCCTTAACTGTTTCTTTTAGCCCTTTCTCTATTTCCTCCCAATGTTGGTCCACCGTGAGGCTATCCGAATCCAAGGATTCGAATTTATTTTCCAGCTCAAGTTGGAATTTGGTTTTACTTCAGGATTTTTCAAATTACGGACTTATGCCTTTTTCTTTCCACTCCATCCGCTGTTGAGTGAATTCGCTTCAATCTCTGACATAGTTTAATTCTAATCAGAGAGTGGTCCGAATAACAGTCTGCTCCATAATAGCTTCTTACATCTTGTATTAAGCTCTGATGTCTTTTGTTTACTAGCACATGGCCAATTTGTTTTTTCGCTCCTTTATGACTAACCCAGGTGTACTTGTGGACATCCTTGTGTAAGGAACATTGTACTGCTGACAACTAGACCTTTAGCTGCTGCCAGACTGATACTTCTCAGTCCATTCGTGGGCGGGGTGGCCGAATGGGCTAATGCGTGTGCACTGCACCGCCGTTGCCCGGCAACCTGATACATAAGACTTAGATTAAAAAAATAGTCACGAGTTCGCGTCCCGGTGCCTGGAGGAGTTTTTAAATCCCCGCCCACACTCACTGGCCCGGGAAAACCCCCGTATAGCCTTAAAGGCGAGGAAGGGGAGGACATAAAAAAAAAAAAAACTTCTCAGTCCATTGTCATTGCTATTTTCGTGAAGGCTATGGCTTCCAATAATGGGCCTGAATTGGGGTTCGCGTCCTGTCTTTGCATTAAAGTCACCTATGACTAATTTTATGTCATGCCTATGAGCTTGGTCCACAATATTTTCCAACTGATCGTAGAAATCATCCACCTCTTTATCTTTATCTTCGGTTGGTGCATACACATTAATTATCGTGATATTAAACCAACAACCTTTAACTCATAATACACCAATCCTTTTTCGTTTATTGGAGTGAAGTTTATGATTGATTTCCTTGCCGCTGGACTAACTATAAAACCTGTCTCTGTCGCATTTTTATTGTTTCTTCCGGAGTACAATAGTGTATGGCCGTCGATAATGGTTTCGCCACCATCTGGCCACCTTACCTCTTGAATGGCTGTTACCGGTATGTTATACCTTTTTAGTTCCTTGATTGCCGTTTTTGCGGTTCCTGGTCTGTTAAACAACGTACGTTCCAAGAACCAATGTATAGCACGTGATTCAAAGCCGAAATCGTTACCATATTAAGAAAGTGTGCATTGAGTTTAGGTTTCGTAATAATTTGTTTTTTCCGCGATAGGGTAATTAGCCATACGCCCAACCCCCAACCTGAAGGACCAGGAGCTATGGTGTAAGACGTAGGAGTCGCTCACCTCCCTGTGAATCTTTGGGTGTGGACGTCACCGTCCTAATGCGGGAATCGAACCCGCGCCGTAGTGGTCGAAGTAATCGGATAGTGCTTGCAATTTTTATTTTTAAAATGTTTATATTTATTATCTTTTTTTTCCGCGAACGGGATTTGAACTATATGACTTTTCGGTTTCGTCAAAAAAAAAGCCACTACGCGTTAAGTATATTTTTGCATGCATGTTAACTCTCTCGACCACCGCGGCTCCAGTAAATATCTAATTATAGTGAAATGAAATGAAATGAAAATAGCCTTTATTTATTCACTAATATTACAATTTCAAAAGCAAACAAAACAAAATACAACAATTTTTTTTTTTACATTATTATAATTTATAAAAACTTTGTACTATCTTGCATAGGGCTTCCCTTATGAGTAATAGTCTTTAACACTTCCCTGGGTGACTAGCCCTACTGGGAAGCGGGATTTCTGACCTTTAACCATTTTTCTTTCCACACATCTCTGTCCCTAGCTGCTCTCTACCAGAGAGGTCCTGCCAAAAGCCTAAATGGATCTCTCCATCTCTTCATTTGTCGGCCTCTCATCCTTTTCCGGTCATATGGAGTCCATATTTTTGACCATCTACTGTCGTAGCATCGCAGGAGATGTCCAGCCCATTTCCATTTGCCTTTTCTGTGTGAGAGTGTGTCTTTGAGCCCTGTTTCTTCTTTTATCTTCTTGCATCTGATTTTATCTATCTTCTTTACTTTCACAATGCTTCTTTCGATGCTATTTTGCCACACCATGATCTTCCTCTCTTGTGCTTTTGTCAATGACCATGTTTGGGAGCCATAGATCACCACTGGCATAATACATCTATCGAAAACTAGCCTTTTTAGGTCGATACTTATGTTTCCTTTTGTTATGAATTTCAGAGACCAGAACTTGTTCCAACCAAATGCTATTCTTCTTTGGACTTCTTTTGTAACTCTGTCTGAAAAGGAAACTAACTGTCCCAAGTAAACATATTCATCTAATTATAGTATTCTATACTAAATCAAGGGACCTAATATAATATTGCACGGTAAATATTATTGAAGCAATACAATATAAGGGAATATATAGAAGATCACCCTCACAGCTGTCAATTATACTGAGTTACTATTGTACCAGTTAGAGACGGGTAAAAAGTACTCTGAGTAAAAAGTACAAATTACAAGGTATTTTACTCAAATACTTTAATTACTACTCGACCTACTGAGCTGATTGACGAATACAAAAATTAATCAGCTGTCCTCGTGAGTACATTCCATTTTCAAATCTACTCAGAAATATTTTGCTTTGAGTACTTTTCAAAGTAATCGAGTACTTCATTATAAAAATTACAGGAGTAGAATATAGTTTTTTTAAATAGTATCGATATTAATGTAATTCAATAAAATAAAAGAATTCAATTTTGGGGCCCATTATTATTTTAGTTAATTTTTTCTACATCACTTGACTTAGACATCCATTATTATGTTTAGGGGGTTGTTTTTTTGGAAATACTGTCGAATTTGAGATTGTCTCTACACCTCCAACCATTGACTTTTTGAATTTAATCGATATCAGGGTCGACTATTATATTATGGGGGCGCTTTTTATGAAAATAATGTCGGATTTAGATAGTGCGCTCAGGTACCGACTTTTTGTAACATTTCGGATTTAATCGACATCAGGGTCGACTATTAGGTTTTCGGAGGAGCTTTTAATTAAAATAAAGTCGGATTTGAGATAGTGCCCCCGGGCACCGACTTTTTGTAGCAATTCGGATTTAATCAACATGAGGGTCGATTATTAGTTTTTCGGAAGCGCTTTTAATGAAAATAAAGTCGGATTTGAGATAGTAACTCCGGGAACCGACTTTTTGTAACATTTCGGATTTAATCGACATTAGGGTCGACTACTAGTAGTTAAGATATTATATTTAAATAATTATGTATCCATCGGCCGTTTATTCCAAAAAATCAATTAACCTAATTATATTACTGTGCTAATTATACTATACTAGATACAAATATATTACAGAAAAAACACGATGTATGCTTAGGTGTGGTCTTAAGCACACATCGTGGTTTTTTTTTCTGATAGAAGTGAAAACATCAACAAGGAGGGATGAACAACATAAAATATAATTATTATTTTTTTTATTCTATATTTACAAAGTAATAACATTTACAATATATACAATTATAATCGTGCATAAACCATTGTTTGTTCTATATCTACAAAATAACATTTACAATATATACAATTTATAATTGTATAATTATAATCTATATTATAATTGTGCAATTTACATTTGTATTTAAAATATTGTTGAACAACTTAAAATTGTATATAAATTACAATTATTAATAAATTACTCTGGTAAATTATTCTTTGTAATGAGCCGTTATTCAAAATTGTATCTTGACGCGACGACGCGTTAGAGATAAAAAAGAAAAAAGTTTAAAAAAAATATATATTTAATTTAGTATTTCATACACATAAAATAAATTGCCAAGTAGAGTAGGTTCCTTGTAATATGGACTGATTTACCGCGCAGGTAGTATTTTATGATCCAAATATAAAATAGGAGAGAAGAATGGTTGGGGTGATCAGTAAAAAAAAAAACTTTCATTTTTTCCGACGTTTCGGCCATAAGTTCAGACCTTCATCAGGGCTGGTCAAACGGTTTAAATGGTTTAACTAGAAAAACATGCTGCTCGTTATTTTAAATGCAATATTTTAAAATAATAATTAAAATACTTTTTGCCCAGGTCTGATATAAATATGTATATATTGTTTGTAATTATATATTATATATTTGTAATAGTAGAAAATAAAGTGGAGGATAAGAAAAAAAAAACAGGTCTTATAAGCACTATTGTAGTATAGATCTCTATCCTGTCTGGTGTGTCTGTTTAGTTGGTCAACAACGCTCGTTACTGGTCAACGTTGGTTTGAGCTGGTCGTCAACGCGTCAAATGAAAAGAAATTTTATAGAGAAATGACGAATCCAAATTTCGAGTCTTAAATTTGGATTAAAAGTCATTGAAAATAACTTGAACATTGAAAGATAGGAGGTTCTCTGACATTGGCAAGTCCGAGTATCGATACAGGAAAAATTGTGCTTTAAGATTTCGAGATGACGTCAGGAGCCGGAACAGTTTCTACGTTTTAAATTCCTACAATTATACGCACGCTCCTCCCTCCCTCTCCTTCGAAATGAAAAATATTTTATCTTGAAAAAAATTAACTAAACAACCGAAAATTATTATTTTAATTAAAAAGTAAATTGTACAAAACCATTAATTTTTATTCATGCTTGTTACTATAAAACAATGATTAATTTAAAAAATCTGAATATGTTAAAAAAAAATTCTTCATTTATTGGCAAAATATTTTATGATTATAGCTGAAAGAGTTGCTTGAGTGCTTTGATACCTTTGAAACTATTTTTAGTTAAATTTTTGGATAATAAATATGCAAAAACCTTTTGTTTAAGGTTTATAGACATCAATTAGCCATTAAAGGAAGTTTGACAGCAACTTTAATAGTTTAGGAGCTTATGGCAAATTACTAGGCTAAACAAAACACTAAATTACACATACAAAATTAAAATACGCTTTTCGTATATGTATATATATATATATATATATACATACCTACCTATGGCCTATGGTTTGAGAGGGAAGAGTTCGACGGAGTTTTGAATTTTTGAGAGGAATAAATTTCGATAGATTAATACATTTTCGGAATGAATAGTTTCTAACTAGGAAGTAAAGTGAATTCATGGCACAAAACTCAGAATATATAATTGTATATGGTCTACGATTTTTCTAATTCTACTTTCGCTTGTACTGTTTTGAAGAAGAGCGAACAATAAAATATGTATGGTGCATGAGGGAGATTAATGTACCATCGACCTTGTGGGAATAGGTACTCCTACTTATCGTTATAAAAATGCATGCAGTCGATATTAAACAATAGTAAAAGGTTGTACCGAGTTCGGTAATTGACTAGTATTATACAATATGCGAATAAAATGTGAGGAACTTGGTAATTTGTATTGTTGTAGACCAGAAATAAGATATAATAGATTAATATAATGGAAAGATTTTGGAATTTCTTGAATTTTTTGTTTTTTATTTTATATGATTTGAGAATGGGCAAATTGATCGAAACACGTTGTTAACAATTGAAAAAATAGTTAAACTATAGGGGCTTATATATATATATATATATATATATATATATATATATATATATATATATATACATATATATATATATATATATATATATATATATATATATATATGATATATATATATATATATATATATATATGATATATATATATATATATATATATATATATATATCATTGGAGACACCATTTCAAAAGCAATATTGTTCATTTTATTGTTTATTCATATATAGTATTATCGTCATTTTTCTCATCATTGATTTTTAATAGCAGTGTAAAAATTGAATAAATAATTTCTGCATGGTTCGCGAAATTGTTTTTCTTCCTCCTGGTGTAAATATACCCACTAGAATGAGAAAGATATAATTTTTCGCAAACTACAAACAAACTAGAATTATCCTTTTTGTATAGAGTAATATATTAAAAAAAGAGTAACATTTTTGTCTTAGTCAAATTTGGATTATGTTATTGAACGGTAGCAGTTAGTAATAAGTTTTTATTTTAGCATTAAAATTTTAGTTTACTATTGATTTCCATAGCAATTGATGTGACATCAATGCTCTTAATGTCGTCAACATACAAGACATTAGGATAAGACAACTGTGAAATTTCAGGCAATATCATCCTTAGGTTAGAATTTGCTTCATCTGCAAGTTCTCTAATACTTTTGGCAAGATTAAGACGACAAAAAGCAGCTTTTTTTCCTCCTTGAGTAAGGGTCCAAGAAAGCATAAAATAACTACTCCTCGAATACTCCCTCATTTTTTGCATCTGATCTCCGAACATAGTCGATAACTTGTCAGTTTTCGAATATTTGTGGTACATATTCATGCTAGTCTGATTAAAATAACCTTTCCCAAGCCTACCAGTCAGGTCCACACCAGATTTAGGGTCCCTTATCACATAGATAACCGCCGGCCTTTTGCCAAAGTCAGTGAAATGATTTAGCGACAACGAAGGAAGGTACACGCTACCCTCTGAATTATGGTACAAATGGTTTGTCTTGTCCAAAATTTGGAAAAGTTTTTCCCATTCTGACTGTGTGAACTTTCTGTAGCTGTTGTTACCGACTTCTGTGTTGAGGGTATGAGACAGCCTGACAATGATGAGTTCGTTGTGATCTTTAGTAAATGCGTTAATGTCATTAACGATGGACTGGATCGATTGACCGTTACCTCCTTGCCAGGTTCCACCCGCAATCCTGGAGTAATGTCCAGTCAAGAAGAGACCTCCGTTTCCGATGGCAGGTCTCACATCCAGGAATCGTACTCCTAATTCCAGTTGATATTTGATAGGATTTGTCTGTGTCTGCACGTTGCAGGGGTGGGCTAAAGCTGTTCCAGGCCGAAAATCGCTCATTCCTGCATCGTGGGATCCAGGAATACAAATTTGCTTCAGAGTTCTCTTGCCTAACAGATCCAAATTGTCTCTCATCCAATTGGAGCCATCGAGAAACTCTGGATCCCACCTAACTTTGTCAGCAGAATTACTAGAAAAGCAGACCCACACCAACGTAACCAGAAGGATATCCAATTTCATATTTATGAAATGTTTCGAACCTGCAACAGAATAATAAAGATAATAATGATAATGAAAAAACACATAAACACTACAGTGATTACTAACTAATAATTAAAGTAACATTTGAAATCCATATAATGTAAACTCCCCAAACATATTGAATATAAATACAGGGTGTTTAGTAATTGCACGGCGGCACTATTTTAGATATGTGTTCACTGACACAAAATAACCAAAAAAGTTCATATTAACATATACCTCAAACTCATTTATTAAAAAGATATCAAACGTTAAAGATGTATTATGTATTTACTACATTAAGACTGACTATATAAAGTTTAACGTGTTTAAGACTAAATAACAGGTTTTAATCATCTGATGAACAAATGAACGACAAGTAATGACAATAGTTGCTCATCTGTTTGTCTAGTTCTGTGTGTTTTAGTGTGAGTAAATACTGTGACACAGTTCAATTTGTGATTATCATGGAGACAGCATATATTTATTCACTTTTGCAGAACAAACAGACAAGCTTTTAACTTATGGCGAGGTGCATAGAAATGGTGTTGCTGCTGTTCGAAGATATCGTGAAAAATTTCCTAACCCAAGTATACCAAATCGTAAAACGGTTGAGGACATTGAAACACGCCTTAGGGATAATGGCACGCTAAAACCTATAAACGCCGGTAAATAATGATTTCGACGAACTGCAAACGTTGAAGAAGAAATATTCGATGCTGTTCAGTTATCTTCTACTACTAGTACCAAAAGATTGTCACGTCGTTTCGATGTTTCCTCTACCAAGGTATGGCGAACTGGCGCGAGTATCCATTTCACGTATCGAGTAGGCAAGATTAGGCAAGAAGGTTACCACAAGACTATAACAAGCGCAGACATTTCTCCCAATGGTTAATTCGACAATGCACACGAGATCCTAACGTTCTAAACTGCATGTTGGTTATTAATGTATCTTGCTTTACAAGAAACGGGATTCTTAATTTTCTAAATACCCATACTTGGCCTGAATAAAATCCTCATACGACTGCTGTTGGACATTACCAACATTCAATTTCTTTAAATGCCTGGTGTGGTCTTCTAAGTGACAATATCGTCGCCCCTTCTTTTTGCCACCTAGGCTGTCAGGTATATCTTGCTTGCATTTTTTGCAAAATAATCTTCATGAACTGCTAGAAGATATTCCGTTAGGCATTAGGCAAAGGCTGTGGTTTATGCATGGCGGTGCTCCAGCTCACTTTTCTAAGTGTCACTGATTATTTAAATGCTACTTATGAAGACCAATGTGTTGGTCGAAACGGAACTATTAAATGACCACCACGATTTCCGGATTTAACGCCATTAGATTATTTTGTGAGGGGCTGGGTGAAGTCTATGGTTTATTATGCGGCAGTTGGCACGCAAGAAAAGCTAATAAACCGGATCGTGGAAGCCGTAGTAATTATCAAGCACCATCCTGATGCTATACGAAGAGCCAGAGAAGCATGGATTCGCCGTGTTGAATGTTACATTCAATAAAACGAAGGCCCATTTGAACAGTTACTTTAAATGTTGCAATAATAATAAATAAATAAACGTCTGATTTCTGTTTAATTAATGAGTTTAAGATTTATGGTAATATGAACTTTTTTCTTTATTTTTTGTTAATGAACACATACCTAAAACAATGCCGTGCAATTACGAAACACCCAGTATAATAATTTAGAATTTTAAGATATTTTAACAAATTTAGAATAATTTGATGAATTCCAAACATTGTCCCCTTAAAATTAGTGTAAACATTTTTGACCTGTCTATGGAAGGCAATGAAAATTTCTTAATTTGTTTGTAGTAAAATTTACAATGGAAAATAACAGTTTAATACCTTATAGGCGGACAATCCATTATCATTTACAGGTTGAACATATGAACATAGAGATATACTTTCAAATATCTCTTTACCGAGAACCCCCCCCTCCCCGAGTTTGTGAGAGCCGTCAGTCTACTGGAGGCAACTCACACCGACCAGGTGTGGGACTGATGACCCTAACCCCCGTGTACTTAAATCAGGAATCAGAATGTGGTCTAGAAGACCACATCTCGCGGTCAAAGATCTACAAGGTCTGTAGCGCCAACCGAAAAAAAAGGTCTATATATATATAGGTGACCATGTTAAGCAACACTAATTTTATATATATGTATATATATATATATATATTGCTCAGAGACCTGAGTAGTGTGGTTTACAAAAACAGAAGGAATATCGAGGTTTTTATTGTCTACCGTTGATTATAATTAACATAGTTTTTGATATTTTAGCTTCTAAATGATTTGATAAATGTAAGCTTTTAGCTATAGCTTCGTTAAAAGTGCACTTCAAAATTTTTATAATTGCTTAACAATTCTAGAAAATAATTTCTATTTAAAGTAGAGAGGTGAATGAAAGTTGTGTTGCAAGCACCACAATTTTACTTTCACTTACGTATATATGTAATATATATTAAGTGTAAGTATTGCGATCGAGAAAATTTTTGAATCTGAGTTTTCGACGGATTTATACGTTTTGAGTTACCCTGAGTCGAAATGACCAAGTCCCGACAAATGGTCAGTGTTTCTGTGTGTTTGTATGTTAGCAGTCTAGCTCAAAAACGAAAAGTCCTATGAAACTGATATCACGTATTTAAGATAGGTATATGCCTTAGTTGTGACGGCAACTTTTTCCTTAAAATCGGCTAACCGGAAGTGCCACTTTATATCAACGCTGAAACACATTTTCACAGTTTTCTCAAAAACGGCTCTAACGATTTTGATTAAACTCGGTGTATCATTGTATAATTAAGTGTTCTTTAATATAAATTAGGTCTTATCCCCATTGATGCCACTTTACAGGGCTTAAATGCCTAATGTTCATATAGGTCTTCCTCTAAAGTACCTTTAATATGGTTTATTTTAAAAAAATAATTATTTCGCATTATTCAGAGTTACGAAAAAATGCTAAATATAACTTTTGAAAGAATTTGATAAGTTAATAAAGGAGAAAAAAAAATATGTTCTTCATGTTTGATATTGGTAACATGAAATTGGGGATCAGAGAGGGAAAGACTGCGGTGGATGAGATTTTTAGCAACGTTAATTTTTTGGTGGTAGGGATGTTTAGAATGGAAATTTAGGAGTCTGCCAGTGTAAGTTGGTTTAGTGTACCAGTCTGTGGAAAAGGTGTTATTGGGATTTATAATGATTAGAAGGTCGAGAAAAGGGAGAGAATTATTGAGTTCGCGTTGTACTGTAAAATTTAGGCGGGGGTGGCAAGAGTTAAAATGTGATAGGATATCAGGAATTTTATTTGGATTGATGATTAGGAGGAGGTCGTCTACGTATTTTCGAATAAAGATGATATCGTCAGGGTAAAGAGGGATAATGGAGTCTAGAAGATCATTGAGAACGATGTTGGAGATGTCGGAAGCGAGTGGGGTTACCCATTGCTAGTCCGGAGATTTGGTTAAAAAATTGTCCTTGGAAAGTGAGGTAGCCTGATTTACAGCATAGATGAAGGGATTCGAGATATGAGGAGCGGTTAAGTGAGGTGTGAGGTTCAATGATAGTCCAATTGTCGTCTATTATAGTAAGTGCCTTGTCTATGGGTATGTTCGTAAATAAACTTCCAACATCGAAGGAGAAGAACAACAAAGAATGAAATTGTCTGGAATGGTAAAGGAGAGTAGCTGTTCACGGAGATGGAATGAGTTTTGTACATCATAAGGGTTGTTGTGGCTGAAGATTTGTAAGGAAGGTAGTAAGAATTTGCTAAGTTTGACAGAAGGAGAATTAATGTTGGAAGTGATCGGACGGAGTGGGGTGCCGGGTTTGTGGATTTTAGGAAACCTGGTACAAATTATTAAACTTGGAAATTAGTATAAGTTTCTTCTGTGCTTTAGTGGAATTAAAGATATTGGAAATGCAAACGGAGAGATTATTAACGTCTTCTTGGTTGATGTTATTATCTAAAAATTGGATGAGAACTGAAATTCGCTTATGGAGAAAATTAATATTTTGAATGGTTTCGCGGATTTTTAGGTTAAGCAAAGATTTTTTAAATTTAAAAGCGGAATTTGATAATTTTGAGTTGAACGGAGGTGATATTGAAAAGCGGTTAAAAGAGTTTTCTATGAATTTAGGAAAGATGGAATAAGAACGGCATTTGAGAAGAAATATCCGCTGTTCGGTGCTATTAGCAAGACGTTGATGAAGGTGACAAAGGTTGTTGATGCGCGGATTTAAGATGAGGGTAGGTAGACTTCAATAAGGAAAAAGATGTATGAGGTTGGGTGGAGGTTTGTACATCAAGTGCTTGAAGAGCTGTAGATGAAGAAGAAGAGTTGGCGTGAGAAATAGTGATGGCCGGAGATGAAATGTTGACGCGAGATGTGGTACTGGCCGGAGTTGAAGAAGGTGAATGGTGACTAGGTGGGCGTGGCAAAAAGGTTGCTGCTGGTGACTGCGGAGCTCTAGAATGATTTTGATGTCTAGTTCGGCGATGAGAAGAAAGACGGTTGTTTTCTGGTCGTTGGCCCCGTGTGGATAGATTCATAATTGGTGATTGGTTGACTGTCGTGGATAATGAAGAGAAGAATAGTTGGGGTGGTCAGTCAAAAAGGAAGGCAAAAATAAATGATAATATTTATTTTTTACATATGCCGACGTTTCGACCTGAAGTTCAGGCCTTCATCAGGGCTAAGAAAATAACCAGATAACAAGGTATGAGAAACATAAGTAATGATGGTAAAAAAGATAATAAAAAAAAAAATAAAAAAAAATAAAATAAAAAATTAGAAAAATAAAATAGATAAATATAAAGTAAAATGAAATTGTTAGAATAATGACTAAGAACTATGAGATAAATAATAAAAACCGTTACAAAGTGTGGAACGATGAAGTAAGTATAATCAAAAAGGGTGACAAAAGTGTTACAATGGGAACCTTAGAATAAAATGTAAAACATAAAAAAGAAATATGAAGTTTTATAAGAAATTAAAATAAATAGTAA